AAAGAAAGCCAACCGGAAAAACAACCAACAAAAAAATGGGGTTTCCTAGTAAAATCGTTTGGTATTTGCCTGTTATTCGAAAGTAATTAAAAGGGAAAGACTTTAAGTCGGTGGATACTTAGCAGTATTGCCAGCTATAGTATAAAAGTATTTGGAATCCTTTTATATTTTAAACTACTTTTAGTTATAACTATCCTTTGAGTAAAGTTTTATTGGCTGATTATTTAGTACAGTAACTTTTATGTATATCTTTAAAGGTTTTTAAAAAGACTTGCCATGCTTGTATCCCATAACCTCAGCAATTTCAAGAGAAAATTCCAATTTTACGCTTATTTTGCAACTCCCTGCATTTATTCAGTCACCTTTGGAAAACCGTTTGCAGCCGAATATGGTCACGTAATTATCGCCTGCTAATTCGAATGAAAACCCGAACTTTCCCAAATGACCACAATTTGGGATTAGGCCAGCTTCGGCAGATGAACAAAGGAATAAATGGAGTATCCTCCTAAAGCATTTAATGTTATGTTGATTTAAAATACAAAATGTATCTCTTTTTAAGAATAATATTTATATATTAATATAGGGAAAATGAAGAATGTTTAAAAGGGCTTAAAATCTAAGATTGTGTATTACGCACTAGCGACACATTGTGTGCCAGAATTCTAGGATCAGATATATGCCAAGGAATAACCACTTTTGAAAAAAAAAACGATGAACTAGACTAGTCCGAATACCCTACATAAGAGTTCAAGAAAAAATGATTATATGAAAAATACATTTGTTAAGTAGTTTTAATAAATTTGATATTTCATAATCCTAAAATCAATTTGTATTTATTTTTTATAGAAAAAGGGAGGCTCAGAAATATCAATAAGCTAATTTGATGTACAGATTAATATGTAGAGTTCTTTAACACTTTTTTTTTATAATTTTCATATATTTTCTATTGCCAAGCTTAGAGACCTTGGCCAAATCATTTAACTTGCTTCCTTTCCAGCTGCCTGCTATTTGGGCCTGTCCTGTCGCTATTTTAATAACGTGCATGCTGCGCATTTAGGATAACATCTGAATTTATGTAACGACACGGGCAGAGGCACAAACAAAGATGGCAGCCAGACAGGCGGAACGTGAAAAGCGGATGGGAAAAGCGTGAGAGAGGGACGGCGACGATGCCACGGAGCCCCAGCAAAGAATAGAGCGCGAGGGGTCGAGGGGGAAAAGTCAAATGAAAACTGATGCGGATTAGTATTTAAAATAATGTCCTGCAGGGATATAACTTTCGCCTTCCCTCAAGCTATTCTTATTTTTTCTCACTTGATTTTTTATTTTGTGTTTCTTTATACTTTTCCCCATTTTAATTCCTTTGCAGCGATTTTCCTTTTTTTCCTTCTGTTTTCCAGGGAATGTTTCATAAAATTTATATTTGCAGATAAGTGTGCTGGTAGAGGTTAAAGGGGGAGTGAAGGGCGGCCAGGAGCTTTTTATTACAAGACAATTTACATATTTTTCTTGTTAAAATTCCTCAACATTCGCTCTCCAATTGGGTTTTTCGTGTCATATGAATTTTCCCTCATTTTCTTGTTTCTGAATTAATGTTAATTTTTATTACACTTAGTGTATTGTCCCAACCCTCAAAGAACCCACCAACTCTCCTCATTTAAATTCAAGTTTGTTTGTCTAAGCGAAAAACAGGGAAAAAGAGGAGGAAAACAAGAAAAGCTGAGAGCGAAAATACCAATGGCGGAGTCCAGATGAAAATGTTAATAATAAAACAACAAACTCCGAATGAATGCGTCGCAAATCGAAAAATAATAAAAATAGAATCACCACCACCCACCTCCCTTGACCTCTCATCCCAGCTTCTCCTTTTTTTCGTTTTGCTCCTGTCTGCAGGACATTAAGTTCCCCAGTCGACGCCTCATTACGTATTCCCCGAACAAATTCTATTAATTATCGTTATGTCCTTCTGATGGGTGGCTGCAATCGGTGGGCATCCCGCTGGCTCCTTAATAAAAGTTACACGGCGTTTTCAATTTCTTCCACTAACCTGTTTTTATGTTCTCTAAATAAATTCCGTGCTGTACAAAGAAAGATTAAATAAAATATATATAAATATAACAACTTGAACAAATAATTTTGTGTGCATCTCCCATGCGGAATCCAGTTACTAAATTATTCCCAATTCAATTTCCGATGGCCAAATAAAATCAGAGGCAGCCAACTAAGGAAATGGGGCATCGGGCACTTGTCCGGAGATATGCAGAGATGAGCAATTTGTTGTTGCTGGCCCCGTCATGGAAAATTCTAAATGTTTCAATCAACTATTCGCAATATTAAATATTAACGTAAAACTCGAGTGGAGTTGTCTCGGACTGACCCTTTCGTTGTCGGACCAAAAAGGTCATCATGTGTCTGCAAACACACTTCGACTTACTGCACATGTATACCGAAAGGTACACAAGAACAAAATATTTTATTAAAAAATATAGATACAAATTATATCCTTATACATTTACAAGTTAGAAACTACAGTTCTTGTCATTAAAATAGTTCGAAGAAGAGTCAATTGTAAAATTGAAAAATATTTTCCCTCTGTGTAAAGAAGCTGGCAAAGTAATTTTGGACATTTTTCATCATAAACAGCAATGACTATGCTTGCAGTCGGAGGTCTCAACCCCTTCTGGGAGTTTCTTCCTTGGCCGGGCTTTGATTTCGAATTGGATTTGAATTTGGAATTTTTGGCTTTCAAGGACCGCCGGAGGTCCGCAGGCGGTTGGGCGTTGGATTCGAATTGGAAATGGCAGTTGGAGTCCGAGTTGGTCAAGTTGGTCAACGCATAAATATTTCTCTTTGTTCGGAGCCAAAAAAGAGCATGTGCGCCAGTGTGTGTACCTGTATGTATCCTTGTCGGTCTGCACTCATCTCTCTGCCCTCCTGTCTGGCTAACCCATTCTTCCAACCCGGCCAACACCCCTGCACACCAGCACAAACAAACATGCCGAAGGATCTGGAGTGGAGAAGGAGGAGGAGAGAAGCTGGATAGGATGGTCAGATATGAGCAACGGTCGAATGGTCAAGTCAAAGTTATTGTCATGTCATGTAAGTGCCAGCCACCCACCATTCACACCCCTTCTTTTGTATCCTGCCCTGGTCAGATTTTCCAATTTCATCTTCATTTTCCATACAGAACAAGTATGCCATTTTGTTTTTCCCCTACGCCCTACACTGGGCATTAAAAGTGTTTTCTTCAAGAGACGTCGATAGATATATTGAAGTCTGGAAGTAAAAACTATATAACTTAGAAAGGTTCGCCTTGTAAGAACTGCCTATATAAATATAAATCCAATTTGAAAAGCAACTTAAATCATTTATACAAAGAAGAACACACACCTGCCACATCAAAAAACTGAAGTCAGTATATAATAAAAAAGTTGTCACACGTGCGCTGAAGTTAAATGTAAACACACCTGGTAAAAAAGCATCATCAGAAATTCACCGAAACTTTTCATAAGTTTGAAGAGCACTGGGGGAGATCGTGTTGGTGAAAAGGTTTTCCCCAGGGTTTGGGTAAAATGTAAATATCGGTTGTAATGGCTGCTGCCGCCGCCCCAGGATGTGGAAAAATCAACTGACCAGTAACTTTGGAGCCAACTTTGATGGCATCTTGCGAAAGTTGAAAGTGACTTAAGTGAAATTTCCACCTCAGGCGGCTCAGCAGGACGACCTCCTCCACTTTTCCTTCAATTTTCGAGGGGTCACGCCATGAACATGAGTAAAAATTAAATTGATTTTCCTTGGACATTGTTCGGACCTGTGCTAAAGTTCTGTTCGCTTTTCTTTTTGGCCCTTCATGGTCTTTTGACAACCCTATGGATTTCGTTTCGAATCCTTCAGGAAACTTTAGCCTGGAGAACTACTTCCTCTTCAACTTTCCTGTGTCGCATATTAAATTGGTGCGCAAATAGTTGGAGACATTTTCCTAGTCTGTATCTCATTGACTTACTTCATATAGCAGTTCGGTTGAGTTTTTGGCATCTGCCAAAATATTTACTCAGCAAAATATTAACTTGAAAGGGGCGTCCCTCATTCTCATTCCACTTCCAATTGACTTCAGCGACAATTTCGTTTCAATTAAATTATAATTATATCTTCAGATCGGCCCCATCAAGTTCCAGTCAAACAAAAAGTACAATTTTCATTTTCACCGTTGCAAAAAGCCGAGGCGGGGCGTTGATAATTTCCCAAAATTGTTTGACACTTCAAAGTCATTATGAAGATAGCAATCACCAACCCAACTTTTATCCAAGGTCCTGGCATTTCTTCACGGCCCAACATTCACTCCATCCCCCCACGCCTTAGCCTCGGCAATCCTTCAGCCTTCTACCACTCCTTCGTCCTTTTTGCCACTTTACTCAATCCTAGGATGAGTCTTGCCACGTCTGTCTACATACCTACATACCCGCAGCGCTTTTTGATGTAATTTTGGCATAAGCCAAAAAATTTTTCCTTCCTCGAGATGTCTTTGTCTCCGGCTTCCCACCAAGCGACACCCTCTGACAAACTCATCTGGGGAAAATGAAGGAAATGTCTGAAAATTAAATTTGGAATTAAAATTTTAGCGCTGAGGACATAACTTTATGCCCCCGGGCTGCCTTTCCCCCAAAAGGGTTTTCTTGGATTAATTCTTGGGGTAAGCAAAGACAATGATAATAGCTCAGCAGATACGTTTTTCAGGGGTAAAGGATTAGAGTTTCTTGAAAAAAAGTTAGGTAAAAAGATACTACAAATATGTGCAAATTTGAATTCTACATATTTGGCGGCGATATGTTATCGACAATCGACTGTTCTATAGATCAACCAATCGTTTATTTTTTAAACAAATTCATTGTTGAACTTTATTGTGAATGACAGTTTATCAGCTGATAGTCGTTTGCTTTTTTAAAAACAAAGAAATACTCGTATGTATTGTGCATATATTTTACATTTTACTTACTTTTAATTTTGATTTTAAATTTAATTTTCCAATTGAAGAAAACATAGTGAGTCTAAGTGCAATAAAAATATAAAAATAATAATATAAGTAGATGATAAAATTAGGAATACATACCCTACATACCCATACTATGTATGTACTTGATTTAGTGATTTGAATTTAGAACTTGTTTTAGCTAATTAAAACATTCCACAAAAAGTAGTCTAGCTTACTACGTAGTGGGAGAAGCAATAGAGAGATACAATTTTTGAAAATTTTAAGAAATATATAATCGTATATCGCTTTTAATTTAAAACATTTTCATTTTAATTTTACAAATTTAAAGGGGTGTTTAATTTTTATAACTTTTATAAAAAAGTTTTAGCTCATTTCGCTTTGTTGTTTAATAATAAGAAACCATTAAGACAGCATTTTTGTTATCAGCTATATACTACACCTACATATATAATGTTTATTTCTGATGCTGGATGATTCACCTCATAATCATACTCATTCACGATCTTAACCCACAGATCGTGGCAGAATTCGACTGATATAGATGGGTTGCCGTCGATTTCATCGTGGAGGGCACCACTCACGTGGCGGACCGCCTCCCCATCACCATCGAGGAGGCCATCACGGTGGTAGACACTGTGGGCAAGGGCATCATCCTCCCCTCCTCCACCCCACCATGGACCACCGCCTCACCATGGTGGACATGGCCATGGTTATTGGGGTGGATGTGGTCCTCCTCCACCACCGCCACATTGTCCTCCTGGCGGGTACCCTTGGGGTGGTCACTATTGGCAGGGTTATCCTCCACCGCCACCACCACCGCCACCTCCTCACCATCAGCCCCCAGCTTCAGGATCCCAAGCTGGATGGGTGTCAATACTGCGGGTGCCCTGGTGGCGGTGGACCTCATGGCGGAGCCTCAAATGGTGATCAACAAGGCAGCACTGCCCCTGGTAACACCGGCAGCACCCAACCCCCCAATCCAGGAAACGGAGTCCCTATTCCTGGCCAGAATAAATATGAAGTTATTGATATATAAAACCTGAGGAACTTTAAACTTGTTTAAAAAAATACATATAATATTATATTAATAAAATAAATATAAAAATAAGTCTCTTGAACAGATGTATTATCCTTGCCTTATTAATTTTAGGAATAATTATTTATTCTTAATATTCAAAAAACATAAACAACATTATATGCTTGTCTTAATTTGGAAAGATAGATAAATATTTTCTAAGGGAAAAACCTTTCCATGGGTTTATTCTGTTTTTCATTCGAACCAGATGTATACAGCGTAGTTCTTGGACCATAGTATATTCCCAATTCAGGTAGAAGACTGATAACATTCTTAGAATGGTATCCCACATAAATCTATTGGCCAGGTAGAATCCTTTTCGGCTACCTAATTCTACCTTCCTAGCTCTGGTATAAATACCACAGGTCCTGTGAAACGACTTCAGTTCTAAAATTTCTCTCATCATGAAAATACTGGTGC